TTAATTAAGTGGGTAAACAGGAAGTGGATGAGCTACACACCTAAAATCGAATCCCACTGTATGGGACCACTTGTCAATGCTGTATGCCAAATATCAAGAGGCTGTGATATTAGTAGTAGTCGCTGAGAAAACTGTTACGAAAATTTCCTTCCATTGACCATTAATGTCGAAAAATTTAACTAATTTAACTTAGTGGATAAACATGAAGTGGATGAGCGACAGACCTGAAATCAAATCCAAAGGAAAATTTCCTACCATTGACCATTAATGTCGAAAAATTTAACTAATTAATTAACTAAGTGGAAACAGGAAGTGGATGAGCGACAGACCTGAAATCAAATCCGAACGGTATGGGACCAACATGTGTCTATGCTGTATGCCAAATATCATAAGGCTTTGATAAGTAGTTGCTGAGAAAACTGTTACGAAAATATTTTCCTTGCTGCCCGCCCGCCACCTGCCCGCCCGCCGCCCGACATTCACCATACTATAACCCGGATTTGCACCAGTGCAACCTGGCCAAAAATAAACAAGAGGGCCATGATGGCCCTGAGGTCGCTCACCTGTATATAGGCCCCCAACCCCCCCCCCCCAACGTTGCAGAGCCAATTTAACCAAGAGCTTTTATTTGCACAAACTTGGTAGACACCCATAAGAAGATGTTTCATGCTAAACATTTAAGCTCTAGCTCATTGGGCTTTTTAAAAGAAGATTTTTTTAAAGTTTTTACTATACACATATAGTTAAAAACAATGACACCCATGGGGCAGGGCCAGTTTTGACCCCAGGGCTTTTATTTGAACAAACTTTGTAGACACTTACTAGAAGATGTTTCATGCTTAATATCTAAACTCTAGCTATTTGGGTTTTTTTCAAAGAAGATTTAAAGTTTTTGCTAAACACATATAAAGAAAATCAATGACCCAGGGGCGGGGCCAATTTTGACCCCTGGGCTTGTATTTGAACAAACTTGGTAGACACCTATTAGAACATGTTTGATGCTCAATATCTTAGCCATAGCTCTTTGAGTTCTTTAAAAGAAGATTTTTTAAGTTTTTACTATATGCATATAGGGAAAATCAATGACCCCCCGGGGCGGGGCCAATTTTGACCCCAGGGCTTTTATTTGAACAAACTTGGTAGACACCCATTAGAACATGTTTCATGCTATATATCTTAGCTCTAGCTCTTTGGGTTCTTTAAAAGAAGATTTTTTAAGTTTTTACTATATGCATATAGGGAAAATCAATGACCCCCCCCCGGGCGAGGCCAATTTTGACCCCAGGGCTTTTATTTGAACAAACTTGGTAGACACACACTAGAAGATGTTTCATGCCAAATATCTAAGCTCTAGCTCTTTGAGTTCTTTAAAAGAAGATTTTTAAGTTTTTACTATATGCATATAGGGAAAATCAATGACCCACGGGGCGGGGCCAATTTTCACCCTAGGGCTTTTATTTGAACAAACTTGGAAGACACCCATTAGAACATGTTTCATGCTAAATATCTTAGCTCTAGCTCTTTGGGTTCTTTAAAGAAGATTTTTTAAGTTTTTACTATATGCATATAGGGAAAATCAATGACCCCCGGGGCGGGGCCAATTTTGACCCCAGGGCTTTTATTTGAACAAACTTGGTAGGACACTCACTAGAAGATGTTTCATGCCAAATATCTAAGCTCTAGCTCTTTGAGTTCTTTAAAAGAAGATTTTTTAAGTTTTTACTATATGCATATAGGGAAAATCAATGACCCCGGGGCGGGGCCAATTTTCACCCAGGGCTTTTATTTGAACAAACTTGGTAGACACCCATTAGAACATGTTTCATGCTAAATATCTTAGCTCTAGCTCTTTGGGTTCTTTAAAAGAAGATTTTTTTAAGTTTTTACTATATGCATATAGGGAAAATCAATGACCCCCCGGGGCGGGGCCAATTTTGACCCCAGGGCTTTTATTTGAACAAACTTGGTAGACACTCACTAGAAGATGTTTCATGCTAAATATCTAAGCTCTAGCTCTTATGGTTTTTTAAAAGAAGATATTTAAAGTTTTTTCTTTCGGTTGCCATGGCAACCAGAGTTTTGCATGGAATTAAATTCTTTGAACAATTTTTAAAGGTGACCACCAAAGGAACATTCCTGTGAAGTTTGGATGAAATTGGCTTAGTGGTTTATGAGGAGATGTCATTTAAAGTAAAAGTTTACGGACGGACGGACGGACGGACGACGGACGGACGACGGACGGACGGACGCCGGACGAAAAGCGATCACAAAAGCTCACCCTGTCACTTTGTGACAGGTGAGCTAAAAATGCAGAGCAGCAGTTTCTGTGCACTGCACTTCTTATCAATAAGATCTATCGTCCTATGAATTTTCAAGTCCATAGCTTTTATAATTTATGAGAAATGGCCTGGACAAAATTAAAGTATGAAAATTAACAAAGGGTAATTACTCAATAATAAGAAATGCAGAGTACCACTTCTTGTGCACTGCACTTCTTCTTCATGAGATCATCATCCTATGAATTAAGTTTCAAGTCCATAGCTTTTATACTTTCGGAGAAATGGCCTGGACAAAAATAAAGTATGAAAATTAACAAAGGGTAATAACTCAAAAAATAAGAAATACAGATACCACTTCTTGTGCACTGCACTTCTTCTTCATGAGATCTATCATCCTATGAAGTTTCAAGTCCATAGCTTTTATACTTTCGGAGAAATGGCCAGGTCAAAAATAAAGTATGAAAATTAACAAAGGGCAATAACTCAAAAAATATGAAATACAGAGTACCAGTTCTTGTGCACTGCACTTTTCCTTAATAAGATCTATCATCCTATGAATTTGCAAGTCCATAGCTTTTATACATTAGGAGAAATGGCCCAGAGAAAAAAATAAAGTATGAAAATTAACCAAGGGAAATAACTCAAAAATTAGGAAGTGCAGAGTACCCGTTCTTGTGCACTGCATTTCTTCCTAATGAGATCTATCATCCTATGAAGTTTCAAGTCCATAGTTGAAGAGAAATGGCCCGGACAAAATTAAAGTATGAAAATTTACAAAGGGCAATAACTCAAAAATTAAGAAGTGCAGAGTACCAGTTCTTGTGCACTGCACTTCAAGTTATTGAAAGAGGCATGCATACCAAGTTTGAAGTCAATCTGTCTTATAATGACTGACTTATGCTCTGGACAAGCTTTAGGAGACGCCGACACCGACACCGCCGACAAAAGTAACCCCTATATGTCACCTTTTCAAGGCGACACAAAAACAAGTGTTTGGGGCTCAAAAAGGACATTTTTTCACTATTTGAGACCTAAAAGAGAGGGGGCAGGGGGGGAGGAGTCTAAAGTGCGTTGTTTCGCGTATATATGAGGTAAATGGTTAATCATTATCATCATGAACAACAACATCAATTTTCTAATCTTTACAATAACATTACCTCGACATTTATGATAATTAATTGTAACTTTTATAATATTTTATATTGATATTCTTATATTGATACTGCATGTTCTCAAATAGCATCTGGAAATATTAATTTTCAGCTGGCTCATAAGTTTGCAAGCTTAGTATTGTCATAACACATCACAATTTAAAGAGCAGATACATTGTTTGATAAATAACTCACCATGTGTATTTGTGTAAGGAAAAACACACCAGCAAACTCGATATACATGTTTCTCTTTAAATTTTTGAAAATACCTTAACCGGGATTATATCATATTTAATTTAAACAAAGTCAATTATGTTTAAAGAAGTCATGAAAATGCATGCCCGGCTGTGTATTTTCCAAGGTATTCAAGAAAAATCATGGAAAAAACCATGGAAGTCCAAGCTTTAATGGTAGTTTTACTAGGAAACCTTGGACAATGTTGCAATTGTCCAAGGTGAAAGGTTTTTTTTCTAACTTTTCCTTGGACATATTCCATGGTTGTCTGAAAAATTCCTAGGAATCGCTTGGACAATACCTGGGAAAGTAAAACATAGTTTTTTTCAAGCTGGGAAAATGAACACATTCAGACACTTAGACAATTTTTAGCTTGGAATTCACTTGGAAAGAAACACTTAGAAAATTTTCAGCTTGGACAAAGGACTTAGGCAATTTTTCTTTCATTTTTTCAATCATCTTAATGATAATGAATACTGAATTATTTACATTTATTGTCATTATGATGTGCTAGAAGGAAAAGAATATTTAATCCTTTTCAGAAGATATAAATAGACATTTTTAAGAAATATAATCATTTATTGATTTTTGTATTTAATTATTAAATATAAAGTTATTAAAAATATCAAATATATACATGTACATGCATACAATCTACTAAATTCATTGCATTACAGAGATGAATGATGTTGAGTATAATACAAAGTACATTTATTTTTTTTTATCAAAACAGTAAGGAAAATGTTCTGTTGGTTTCTAAGTTTCTAAATGCATGAGTATCTTCCCTGTAGTTTGTATCTTTAGACTTTTTTATTTCTTGACAGCATGTAAGCAACAGTTAAATAATTTTAAAATGCTATTAAACTTTGATATAAGAGTATATGTTTTTAGGCCATATAAAATAGTACATTCTCTGAATATTTGTAGACATACATTTAGGTTACACTTTACTCTGCCACTTAGTTTATGTGCACAATAAACACATAAATTATATAATAATTATTGCCCATTATATATATATATGGCTTTATGTGCAAAATTTGTTAAATATAATAACCAGCTTGCCTAGTCAGGATAAATAAATACTAATATAACACACAGGTCAGATAAGACTAATGATTACCATCTGCCCTTCCCTCTATCTTTGCATGACTAATCTGACCTCATGGGGCATTCTGGGATGCTGACCAGACTATTCCATGTGATTATTAAGGGAATCTGAGCATGATACATTTCTAAAAAAATCAGTTTAGAAGGACATTGAAACTTTGATTTTTACACACTTATTATTATTTTCAAATTCTACATTTATTTATCATTTGATATGTTTATACATTCAATAAATGTAAAAATACAATGATGGGTGTTTTGATTTTTTTTTTTTGATAATCCCTGTTTCACATTATGATAGACTTGTCCAGACTGAAACCGTTGCAAAATTTGAAATCTCAGACATTCAGTGCTAACCATAAAGGATCTAAGTGGTATTCCAGATTATTTTGGAGATATCATCTTGTTTTTGAATATTGTGTACATTATTGTGGAATTTCAAAGAAAACATTTATCTAAATGTGACAAGATTGTGGAATTGTTTGGTTGTTGTAATTGAACTAAGAATGACCTGAGGCAGAAAGCTATGCAAGAATCATAGTAAACAGTTTCAGGTAAATAACTTTTAGATACATTTATGCAGAAAAATGGTTATTTTAAACAATCAAAATATATTATGGCAGCAAGCAAAAATGTTTCTATAATACAACAATGTATAAGGTTGATAAAATTATGCTGTGAATAATTATTTGATAATTAGATCTAGATTTATTAATTATTTCTATATTGAATCAGTTATTTGTTTAATTTACTTACTGAAATTCCAAGTTAGTATGCTCAACTTAAATTTTGAAGATAAAAAGTTTTAATGGAAAATGAAGATTAAGGAGAATTCAATGTATTTAATGTTAAAATAGACTAGATATACTGAAACTTTGCTTACTTAAATTATATTATTCCAGGAACAGCTGTATGGATATGTAAAGTACAGTGATGACCTCTCAAAAGCCAGCAAGCTCCTGTTCAGAAAACTTTATAGTGTTGAAGAATACAGGGGCAGGTGTTTTACTGGCAACAGTACCAACACTAAAACCGAAATCAAGGCCAGCATTGGAGGACACAATATTACTGAAAGTCCTTCATGGTTTGTATAATTTTATTTCCTAGAATTGTAATCAAATTTGAACATATTAATCTTTTTTTGCAGTATTTTACAGTTTTACACAGCATTAAGTTGCAACTAATGTAGTTAAACTCTAATGTCCTTATACATAGTTATTCAAAGTAAGTAAAATCTGTATTAATTAGGAAGTCTTCTATATATCTACTGAGTGCTTATTCCCTTGATAATGATAATTGTGCAAGGGAAATATAAAATTATGTTGTCGTTTAAATATATTTGTTAAGACTTGCATTCCTCATTTGTTACTACATGTATAATTAAGTGTTTTTAATGTAGTTTTTAATGACATTTTAATATTTTTATTTCAGAGTTGATCAAGAGAAAATGGCCATAATTTTGTGACTTTTGAAGCTGTCCAGAAATTGACATTGACATTGATGTTACCAAGCGGAATAAATATTGTTTTAATATTTATAATATTTTATGTTTTGTATTCTACCAGTGTAACATATTGTGTTTAAAAATGATGGAGAGCGAGTTCGTCAATATGTCAGGGATTTAAAGGCAACTAATTATAAGAATGATGGAAATTCCATTTCTAGGGGCTATTGTAAGAAAGCACAGAATTTACACGCATCAAAGATACAGCATCTACGGCTTTTCAAGATCATGAGGATGTCCTAGTATTTTCCTAGGTTTTCCAAGGTTTTTTTCATTTGAAAAACCTTGGACAATTCCAAGGAAAATAACATTGGACTTCCATGGAAATGTCCAAGCTTTCGGAGGATGTCCAATGAAAAAACCTTGGTCCCAATACTCCACCAATACTCCAAGGTTTCCAAGGTTTATGGCATATGTTCATGGAAACCTTATACAAGCTCCAAGCAAGCATTTGTCCAAGCATTTGTCCTTAATTTACTCTTATTGTATTGAAAAAGTATACCCAATACTCCAAGGTTTTTTCCATGAAAAATTCCCTGATATTGTCCAAGGAAACCTTGGAAATTGTACAGCCGGGTACACCACTTCACACACTCAAGTTCATGAACATGAAGCATTATACTTGGCTAACAGTTAAAGGTACTCAACTGAGGTTTTCTGACCAAACAGGACTGAAAATAATTATTCTAGATAAAAGATATATATTATGCTTAAATTTGATATTTGAAAAACTGATAATTACAATGCAGTCTTTTTTTGAAATATGAATAAACACCTTTGGAAAACACACAGAATAAGTAAGTTATGTTTTTAAACTGTACCAATCACCATATGATTACATAGTGTCATTACAAAAAAACTGGCAGTTTTATAAGAATAGACCAAATTAATTTGACAAGTAATACAGAAGGCAACTTCCCATAGTTCATACATACACTTATTCAAATGTATCATATTCAGGAAGAATTTACTAGATTTCAATAAATTTCTGCCCAAAGATGAGCATAGTATGATCTAGACAAATAACTTGTTTTCTATATTTCAGATCATTCACACACTCTGTTTTTCGAGAATGATTATTCTAATTGTGAAAATGACCCAAAGTTAAAGTGCTGTGCTGCTTCTCACTAAATATGGACTAAGAATTGCATAAAAATATGATTTTCTATTTATTTCTCAGTATATTTCTTATTTATATTTTGCATATCTTTCTGTTTTAAGTGTCACAGCTGATCTTGTTAACCCTTTCGCTGCCAGAGGGTTATTTATTTATTGATCACCTATTTGCCAGGTTTTATAAGAAATTATTATATTATTCATTAATATAATTATTATTATTTATTATAAGTATTATAATAATTATATATGTTTCCAAGTCTGCTAGTATAATAATAATTATTGTCGATGGTATAATTACCAATATATTTATTATTATTATTTTTATAATTATTATTTTTATAATTATTATTATTATTATAGAATCTGCAAAAGCCGTCCCTATGGCAGTGAAAGGGTTAAAGAATTATTCAAATCTTTTGGACCTCAGTGGAGTTCCTTTAAGACAGTTCAGATTTAAGGTTACATACTTACCATTGATTACTGTAATACACGTTGTATCTGTATTGTGACATGAAGAAATATTAACCCTCACTTTCCTGTAAGATATAGAAATATATGGTAATTAATATAACAAGAAATAGGTTATAATCATTCTTAATAGTTTTTTTTCAATGTTTTAATCTACTTGCAAGAAAATGTCCACAATTTACTTTCTCTACAACATTTTTCATGTACCAGCCAGTTGCAGGAAAGTGTCTTTCCAAATTATATTTGACATTTTAAAGCATTCACTACTTAGTAACAAAACTGGACATACTCATATAAATTCTGTGGCTATTCAATTTAGTACTGTAATTTGCCTTATATATAGTTGCACACATACTGAACCAAAAAAGAAACTTTCGCAAAGTATGTGCCAGCTGCTCAAGGGTACCACTTAGATATACACACTTATATACATGTAGAAGCATGTAAAACTCGTTTTGTTTGCAAAATCTGTCAGCTAATCCCCGTATAAAAGCCGGATATGTTTATTCAACATAAAAATCGAGTTTCAAAAGGATTGAAAAACTGTACTAACATATCTTTGTGACATTCAAACTTGAAGAAAGTTTCTTTTTTGTTTCAGTATATATAAACCATGTCCCACATGGCCACATCTTAGGGTATGTTTTTTGTTTTTGTTTGTTTGTTTCATTTTATGCCTTTTCCAAACAGTATTTCAGTCATATAGGCTGGTAGTTTCCTAACCATCGTTCCTGGAGAGTTACACCAGTACTAGACTACCTTCTTCTGTGCTTAACTACCAAAGCATCTCCCGGGGATGGAACCCATGCCAGAGAGGTAACTGGTTTAGAAGTCATCGACTCTCACCCCTCGACCACCGAGGCGGTTATTTGTGGCTTAATTGTAATACACGATAAACCTGACACTTTAGGCCTTTTTACATGCTGTTCATTTTAAACTACAGCAAGAAGCAGTCACACACCGTCAAATCTTCTGTCAAACAGGAGAAAAATTATACAAAGAGGACTCGATACTCTACTGCATTCCTTCTTATTGTGATCAATTTTCCAATGAATTTTTGAATTACATGTAATAATATCTCTAAGCCTTTATGAGTAATGGTCTAGTACAACAAGAGCTGTCAGTAGGACAGCAACGCTTGACTATTCTTAGTGCTTGATAGTAAAAAAACCTTGATAATGTAAAATTTTCTAAGTTAACAAAAGGGAAATTTTTTTCTTTAAAACCATGTTACAGTTATAGGCATTGAAGAGAGTCCTATTATGCTCTCAAAGAAGTGTATAAAATTTCAACCTGTTTCAAAGCCAGATGTCAATAGAATGTTAAAATATCTGAGGTGGTATGCAAACTTAAATGTAAATTTTAAGTAAAAAAGGGGGCATAATTCTGTCAAAATGCTTGATACAGTTACCTCCTCCTGTCTACAGGTTGGGGTCATGATGGTAAACAAGTTTGCAAAGTTTCAAAGCCATATGTCAATGGACTTTGAAAATATTCGAGGTATTACAAAAACTTTAATATAAGTGGTAACGCCGACACTGACGCCGACACTCGGGTGACTGCAATAGCTCTACTTATTCTTATCGAATAGTCGAGCTAAAAAGTATGCAAAGAACAAATAACAAAAACAATAACTAAAAAAAAAGAAAAGGACAATTCTCGTCCTTGTGAAATGAAAAAAAAACCCAACAGGCATAATTTCTATTATCATATAAAATGAAATTCAAAGTCTGGATAATGTGAAATTTTTTATGTTGAAAAAGGGTCTTTATTCTGTCAAAATCTGTGTTAGAGTTATGGGTCTTTAAGATAGTGACGTCTATAATGTTCAAAAAACATTGTGTGAAGTTCCAACCCATTCCAACCCGTAATGATTCTAATGTGCACTGCCATTTTGTTTTAATGAGATCTATCATCCTATGAAGTTTCAAGTCCATAGCTTTTAAAGTTTATGAGAAATGGCCCAGACAAAAATGAAATATGAAAATTAACAAAGGGCAATAACTCAAAAAATAAGATGTGCAGAATAAAAATCTTGTGCAATGCACTTTGAGTTATTGAAAGAAGCATGCATACCAAGTTTGAAGTCAATCCGACGTTACTTAAAGAGTGATTGAGTTATATGCTCCAAACAAGCCTAAGGGCACTGTTGCCGATGACGACAAAAGTAACTCCTTTATGTCACCTTTTTCCAGGCGACATAAAAACATGAGACAGATATAAAGATCTGATTTTCACTGACACTCTCTGCTTTCATATTCAGTAGGCAATAAAATATTTAAGGTAGCTTGATTTTCGTGGGAACATAGCGGGAGGAGAAACAAACAATATTTTAGTTTAGGCCTTACTGATGTCTTAAAGATGTGATTGTAACATACAGAGGACCATTGTGCAGAGGTTGCATCACTTAATATGAAAACACTTTTATCAAAATGTAGATTATTTTTCACCAAATTGTGCCCTTAGTAACCTACACAGACACACAAGTTTTGAGAATCACAACCATTCAAACGCTAAGCTGGATATATAGCTTCCTTGCAGAGAATGATTCAAAGTTCCAAGAATGATCCCACAACAAGAAAATTGCAGTATCTTTTAACAACCAGTCAACAGATGCATCAAATTATGTACAAATATTTACAGGTAGTATTGCTGAGTTTGCAAAATTATTGTCCAAATTCTGAAAAAAACACAGGTAACATTTGAAAACACTCCAAATAAAGTAACAGCTTTTATCCTATTGATGAGTTGTAATTGTAAATTTCATCAATATTACAGAGGATTATAATAAGTCACTTGCCTTAGTCTTAAGTTCATCAAAGGGATAAAACTTCAGAATTATACATCAAGTTCTTTTTTTTGCCTCATGTCCAACTTTTGCAAGATATTCTTGGTACTAGCAGGACATACTGTCTTGTCTCAAACTAATGGCTCTCTATATACCGCCCCCTTTATTTCTCATAATTGTTTTCTGTGAGGTCACTACCCACCTGAAAAATATTTTACTATATTAATGTTGTGCATGCAGATATGTGAATATATGTTTACAAATTTAAAAGAAAATAAGCAACTTTCACATATAACATTACAGGAATATAACCCAAAATTGACAATTTAATTATTTTTTAAAGTTTAAAAATTCTTTATGAATATTCAAATTATGAATCTCCATTAATAAATAGGCTACTTACATGTAAAGCACATGCTAAGAACTAAATTCAAAACGTTGTTTGGTCAACTGTTCTTACTACATGTACTTAAACAACTGAGCAATCCAGTTAGTACTATTATTTTGTGAAATGTGAAAAATAAGAACATGTGACCTTGTATTGTGTCACATTATAACTGTAGGACGATTTATTGTGCAGTAATGCTAGGGGCAATACTTTGTATGGCCTCAATTATCACTCAATTAAAATTGACCACCTTTACCAGTCACATATAGACAGGTACAACTGGATTATTAGGGATTATAGCCGTTGGATTAGTACCCAGCAAATGAGGGCTTTAATCTTTAACTTGCTGGAACCAAAACC